TTATCTCCTTGAACAATGTCTTAAATTAGATAAATAGGTATAGATGACTGGTAATGAGAAGGGTAATTTTTTTCTGATTTAGAAGCTTCAGATGACTGTGCTTTTATTCCAAAATGTCCTACGAGTTCTTGCCTGCAGCTTGATGTATTATGTTAAAATATTTCTCCTTCCTTTGCCTTTAACTGTGGTGCACACAAATTTATTTCTCTGGATTTCTGTTTTCCCACAATATTTTACTAAGATATAATGTGGATTAATAGAAAACTTTCCCTGCTGTATAAAGCCACTGTAATATTGATTTCTGCACTGAAGGAGAATTTGTCCAAAATGCTATCGACTAAAGCTCTTTAATTTTCAGATCTAGTGTGGTGCCATTTGCTTCCAGTGGTTTCTCGGGTGAAAGAAAAATAATAGGAGGATCAAACAGACTTTTTGCCATGGCGGGGTGCATAGCTGAATCATCTGTAGATCAACAGGGTCTGTCTTCACTGCAGAGTGACTTCAGGCTCTTACTCAGGTGTTGCCCCTAGCCTCCCTCCTGAGCCCTGATGCATACACAAAACTCTGAGCGAAAACTGGTGTTATTTTAAACCCTGGCTAGCTCAGCTGGAGGTAAAAGCTACAGTTCCATGTCCATTTGGCATGGTAACAATTTCACTTTGTATGTTAAATTACTGAACAGCCAATAGTGCTTCAGGGGCATAGGTTGTAGCCCTGGTGGTCTAAGGACATAGGCAGACAAGGTTCTTTGGGTAAATCTGATATCTTTTAATAGATCAGGGGTTTTCAACCTTTTTTTATAAAGTGTACCCCCAGCAGTTGGACACGGAGCATGGGCGGGGGGGAGGGGGTGGCATGCGGCTGGACATGGAGTGGGAGGGAAGCTCGCATGCGGCGGCCACCACCGCCACCCACCACCCCACGCTGCTGCCGCGTGAGCTTCCCCACCCGCCATGTCCAGTCTGCTGGGCAGCGCCTGTGCGGCCCGCAGAGGGGCACCACTGCCCTCGCCCCTCCCCTGCCCTGGCCCTGCTCCTGGGAGGCAGTGCTGCGGGGAGGTGAGTGGCAGCGCTCCATCCCCGCCCATCTGTGCATACCCCCTAGGGCCTTCCCAAGTACCCCCGGGGGTACATGTACCCCCCATGGACAACCCCTATATTAGACCTACTCAAATAGTTGGAAAAATTCTTCTGTGCAAGCTTTCGGGTATAAATACCCTTTGTCAGGCCAACAGTCCTTCAGTGCCCTCCCACAATTCTCCACTCCAGACAGCTTAATCCTCCTTTCATTCACTGGGAAAGAATCAAAAGCAGCTCAGCTTACTGCTACACAAAGAATTATGGGATATGATCCCAAAAGTCCAGGCAAAACGCACAGAAGGCTGCACCACCAATGAGGATGCAGTCAGAGACGACCCAAGCAGGGTGCAGGGCCTGGAGCAAATCAGGCTGTGCAGGGCCCTACCCCCAGATGCGAGGAAGCTGGTGGTGGATTTGGCAGTGATTGGGGGAAGGTGCGGGTGCTGAGTAACTGGATGTGAAGCTGGCAGTAGCATGGAGTCGCCGTAGTCGGTCCACCTGGCTCCGCGGGGGCCCCCCAAAGTGTGGGGTCCAGGGCGGTTGCCTTGACTCACCCCCCACTAGGGACGGCCCTGGACACAGTAATAGGGTAGGGCCTTGAAATAGCCTACTTTGATATGAACAGACATAACGCATGCTCAGATCAATGTGCAGTTCATCTGAGTTACCTCTGCAATACAGCCTTGCCCTCAATGGTATGTTTTGGAACTCAAATGGTGTGCAAGTGATGTGGGCAAGTTCTTAGTGTCCTCCTTCAGTTTCTACTGATAATTATTTTTAACCATCCTTTTTTTTTTGTCAGTTTTCATAATACACAATTAGTCATCCCATATGCTGGTATGTCAGCACAGTAGAGCTACACACTACCCAACCCTGCAACTCTTCCTCCGGTAAACAAACGCACTGGCTTCAGCAGGGCTGGCCATGTCCTGTGTCAATACCCATTCAGGTTTCGTACAAATGATCAGGGATTTTACATAAATCAGTGGCAGGCAGTCTCTGGAGCATCTATAATTTCACGGTCATGTACTGCCTTTGGGATAAATATATTCTCAGTGCACCTCCAATTCTACAAGCGAGCCAAAACATTTTCAAATGAAGTATTTCCTCTATCACAGAAAAGCTCAGCAAATAAGGGAATGGGGGCTGACCTTTTTGTAAGGCATGCCACAAGTTAGCTCCCCACCCTCGCCAAGTGCCACTCTGATCCCTTTTCCATGCCAATCTGCTGCTCTGGTCTCTTTTCCCTGCCCAATCTACTGCTCTGCTTATTGCTTCCTGCCTTGTGTGCCACAATGCTGCCTGTGTCCTCCCTGATCTGGCACGTACCACACGCGCAGGCTTCCCAGGCCACTTGTGGAATGCTTGCCACAGGTCGGCCCACCCTGACCTAAGGAAATCTGAAATGGATCCATGCACAAGCAAAGCAAAAAAAAAAATACTGATCACAAAAATCTGACTGACTCTCCCCTCCAAGTATCCTCAGCTACCCAAACTTAGCTACACACGTTCTGCCCCCGCCCCCCCTCCCTTCCCAGAGTCTTCTCTATCCATATGGAAAGGTTCAGATCTTACACAACTAAAATAGGCTGATCTCATTTCTAAAATAAACTGAGTATACCAAGTTGGGACTGAACCTCCTCCTCTTAGATGCCAATCTGAGGATTTTTTTTACAGCAACAATCACAAGTCCTCATCTGAAACTCATGCTGGGCCAGGCTCAGTTTCCTGTTACCTGGCCTTTCCTGGAAAACAGTCCCACTGCGTCTGCAAATGCACGCTCCCCAATTCCTCACTGCTGTTTGCAGTATTAGGCCCCCACACTACAGAAGCCAAGAGTAGAATTTGGCTTTTCTAACTTCCTCGTGCTTCCCAACAACCTCATTCAGTGACAACTATCCTTCCCTTTTTTTGTTTTTACCGAGTATGTAGTACTTTTCAGATGCATGAAAAGATGTTTTGATTCCAAGGCCAGACTCAGTATCTGTGCATGCTGAATCCTGCCGAGCTGGCAGGAATTTGTGTTGATGACTCTCAAAACTGCCTGACGGGTCACGCACACAGACACAGACACGGATGCACACAAAGTGTACCCTCGTACAGGCATATCACTGAAGAGTCACACGCACACACACACAGAGTGTGCACCCCCCCACAGGCACACTACACACACACACACACACACACACACACACACACACACACGCTGTATGCACCCCCACACAGGCATATTGCACACACAATGTATACACACACACTGCACCCCCAGACAGGCACGCTGTGTGCACCCCTGCACCGGATATTGCACACAGTGTATACACACAGTGTGCACCCCCCCACAGGCACATCACGCATAGTGTACACACACACACACACACACACACACACACAC